AGTGACCTAGTGATAGAGCTGAAACTGGTGAAGATGAGGGATGATGATGGGATCTAAAGAGATCTAAAGATTGAGCAATTAGGAGGTACCACCCGCACTTTGACTATAAGCACCCCAACGACGAAGCACGCTACATCACTGCAACGAAACACAACTCCACCCATCTCCACACCCTTCCGACTCAGGATGCTCTGACTACTTAGACCTATCAGTTCTTGGACAGCGTCGAGTTGGTCGTCCATTTTCTTCATGTCTTCCATCTTCCGTTTTTGAGGGTTCGTGATTCTTGACATATTGACAATGGCAATGGCATCCCCAATTCAGTTTGAGATCTGGAGAGATGCGTCCATTCTTTGCAGGACACAAATTGAGTCCAGTAAGAAGGGCTGCAACTGCATGCGGCTGTGGCTGAGACCAGGCAGCGACCGCGACTGTTCCCAAAGTGGACGTGTGGACGCCAAACGGACGTTAGACGGGTTGAGTTGTTTGCAAAGCTCATCTGCGACCCGAAAGCTTGCTTTTGAGATCAATCTGGAGCGATAATCGTTCAAATTTCGGCTGTTGGGATTTGTGCAGATTGCTTTGACAGGCTGCAATACACAAGAGTTCCGGCTCTGTGAGCTTGAAAGAAACAGCGAATACAAACCTTGGGTATGAAAGAAACGGTCATAGCACACCGAAGAAGTTTCTTCCAGTTCTTTTTGGCTATTGACCAGGCACCAACAGTGTATTCTGATTACCAGAGGAACACGCAGCTAGATCCAGAGTATTTCTTCTACACTTTCTTTGCACCTCTGAATCTCTGAAAACGTGTGAACAGAATGACGTGTAGTTGGGGTCTCTCCGGCAACGCTCAAGACGACAAAGTCGAAGGAAGTTGTGACGCTTCGACCTCCAGGCCAAGTCCGCACGGTGGCGCAGAGGGTGTTCTGCGCCGTGTGGGGCTTCGAGGTAAAGCCGGGGCCCCGGGCGGAAGTTCCAGAAAAGCATTGCTTGGTGCTTTTTCTCCAAACAGTGTGACCACACTAGGGGTTCTCACGGTGGATGTTAAGCATTGGGTTTGATCGAGGGTGCTGCTATCATCCGGCCGGTGGCCATTTTTGATGCTATTGGCAGCACATTCATGCCTTGAGATTCCGCTTTTGAAGGCTTCGCACGCAAAACTCTCCTGACGATCGTTGTGGTGCACTTTTTCGGACTTGGTGACCACTTTTTGTGGCAAGTGCAAGGGAACCCTCATGTTTTGGTCTGACGACTTTTCGTGGAAGGTGCAGGAGATCCGAGCGGTTGTGCTTCGATGCGCAGATTTCATTTCGGACGCAGCGTTTAGGTCTTTGGTGTCTTCCGGCTTGTTTTCAGTCTTTTTTTGGGGGAAGTTTTGGTAGGAAAGCCTTGTTTTGGCATATTGTCATTGGAATCGCTTTGGTTGCGAACAGCACTGGCCAGGCTGCGCAATGTGAATCTTGATGTGTAGATTTCGTGGCAGGCACAGCGCAGATTTTGCGGTAGTCTCTCACGCGGGTGCTTTCCAATGTGTGCTCACGTGTTCTCATATGTAAGCTCTCGCGTGTAATCTTTCATATATGTTTTCTCTCATGTGTGTTCTGTAGAATGTGTGAATTCGTTTTTCACCCTTGTGTTGTTTGTTCTTCGGCTGAAGCATATCTACATCACTGTGGAAGAAGCGCTTTAGCACAGCACCCCTTCTGTCGGCATGTGACATTAAACCACCTTGGGACTACTTCCTTGTGTTCTTGGCTGGGACCATCACGCTGCTGCATCTAGGTGTTAGCTGAGTAGGGGTGATCGCGCGAAGACTTCATGTTGGGAGCAGGGCACCTGGACGGAAGCGCTTTTGTCATTACATCCAAAACAAAAAGTCATATACTAACTGTCAAATGGTGTTCGACTGAAAAATGCAAGGAGGGAATCCCCCTTTTGGTTGCCATTTTTCTAAGGCGGTCGTTTTGAAACACCATGGCTGGATTTTCTGGGATGCTTACAGACTTGAAGAACGGGCCTTACAAAGAGCGGAAAACAATAGACACCGTTTGCCGTCGGTTTCCGACGATTTTCAACCACCGAAGCCCCGGAACTCAAGAAAAGGGTGGTTTGCGTGCTGCAGGACTGACTAAAAAAGGGCTGCGCGTTCCTCCATGAAAGATGCACCAGAGGTTTCTGACCGGTCTTTTGCAAAGAGCGCTTGTTTCCCTACTCAACATGTAACATGTCTTTGCATATAAATGCTTGTAGCCGAAGGAGGCAATGCTGTTCTGCAGCTGTTTTTTGCTCATGAAGAAACATGGACAAATTTGGTCATGACAGGTCAGGACGGTTTCTAGTTGGAACGAACGAACTGCCGGCAGTGACCTGAAACGAAGTTGTCCGTTTTGTGCACTGAACTTGACGACAATCGCAGTCCTGAGCTTCCACAGACTTGTCAGAATTTGGCCTTTGAGTTGATCCGAGTGTAGATGCATGATGCATGTAACATGTATGTATTTTGGAGAATTCAAATCACTCTGGAGATAGCAGATTTTTATGCGGAAAAACCAACGTTTAAGGTACACCTTATAGTCACAGTGTTTCCCTGCCGTGGGTGTGTCGACATGTCGAGCGTTTAGTGCAATGCTCAAAGAGGCGAGACAGAAGCAATGTTCGCTCCGTTCGTAACAAGTGCCACGCTTCTAGTAACAAGTGCCTTACTAGTAGTAACAAGGTTCGCTATTAGAAGCAAATTGCTTAACAATTCTAATTCTAATTCTATTACTAGCAACTTCTTGCTCCGTTCGTAGCGATGTCAGGAGCCCCGAACGTAGCGTCCTTGCTCCTAGTAGCGATGCCCTTTGCTCCTAGTAGCGTCCTTGGACTTGACTCTTTTTGAGCTTTCGCCCAAACTCGCAGAATCTGTGTTTTCGTATTTTTGTTCACGGCGCTCGGTGCTCGACGGCGGCGCTAGGTGCGGCGGGCTATCCTGTGCGTCGCTGTCGTGACTGTGCGCTGCTTCATAGGTGCGGCGGTGGAGAATGACACAGGGACACAGGGGAGATTGGATAGAGCTCATGAGACGAAGACCATCCAAAGTTTCTACTAGGCTTTGTTGCATATTGTAAGAATTGACCGGAGTGTTTCATGTATGATCAAATTGTAAACATTGACACACATCGAATGAAGCCCCGCCAGATTCCATGATGCATCTCCTAGTAGCTTCTTGTTCCTAGTAGTAAGGCCAGGAGCTACTAGTAGCGTCCTTGTAGCGATGCCCGCTGTTACTAGTAGCTTCTTGTTCCTAGTAGTAAGGCCAGGAGCTACTAGTAGCGTCCTTGCTCCTAGTAGCGATGCCCGTTGTTACTAGTAGCTTCTTGTTCCTAGTAGCAAGGCCAGGAGCTACTAGCAGCGTCCTTGCTCCTAGTAACTTCTTGTTCCTAGTAGTAAGGCCAGGAGCTACAAGTTGCTTTCTTGCTCCTAGTAGGGATGCCCTTTGTTACTGCTACTAGTAGCGTCCTTGCTCCTAGTAACTTCTTGTTCCTAGTAGAAAGGCGAGGAGCTACTAGTAGCAACCTTGCTCCTAGTAACTTCTTGTTCCTAGTTGAAAGGCGAGGAGCTACTAGTTGCGTCCTTGCTCCTAGTAACTTCTTGTTCCTAGTAGAAAGTTCAGGAGCTACTAGTTGCTTCCTTGCTCCTTTGTTACTGCTACTAGTAGCGTCCTTGCTGCTATATAGTAACTTCTTGTTACTAGTAGAAAGGCGAGGAGCTACTAGTTGCTTCCTTGCTCCTAGTAGGGATGCCCTTTGTTACTGCTACTAGTAGCATCCTTGCTCCTAGTAGCGAAGCCCGTTGTTACTAGTAGCTTCTTGTTCCTAGTAGTAAAGCCAGGAGCTACTAGTAGCGTCCTTGCTCCTAGTAGCGATGCCCGTTGTTATTAGTAGCTTCTTGTTCCTAGTAGTAAGGCCAGAAGCTACTAGTAGCGTCCTTGCTCCTAGTAGCGATGCCTGTTGTTGCTAGTAGCTTCTTGTTCCTAGTAGTAAGGCCACGAGCTACTAGTAGCACCCTTGCTCCTAGTTGCGATGCCTGTTGTTACTAGTAGCTTCTTGTTCCTAGTAGTAAGGCCAGGAGCTACTAGTAGCGTCCTGTTGTTACTAGTAGCTTCTTGTTCCTAGTAGTGAGGCCAGGAGCTACTCGTAGCGTCCTTGCTCCTAGTAGCGATGCCTGTTGTTACTAGTAGCTTCTTGTTCCTGGTAATGAGCTACTAGTAGCGTCCTTGCTCCTAGTAGCGACGCCCATTGTTACTAGTAGCTTCTTGTTCCTAGTAGTAAGGCCAGGAGCTACTAGTAGCATCCTTGCTCCTAGTTGAGATGCCTGTTGTTACTAGTAGCTTCTTGTTCCTAGTAGTAATGCCAGGAGCTACTAGTAGCGTCCTTGCTCCTAGTAGCGATGCCTGTTGTTATTAGTAGCTTCTTGTTCCTAGTAGTGAGGCCCGGAGCTACTAGTAGCA